CACCTTAAAGGATTTGTCCACCCTTTTGGTGCATTTGCATTGGCTAGCTTTGTTGCTGTGCCTGTCTCATTGGCTGACTGCTTGGACCGATAATCTCATATCCATCTTTGGACATGACCTGATGTCTGTTCTAATGTCCCCGAGTTGCTCAACAGCTCTCTTGTGTCTAACCTTTTCTTAGGTAAGTTTTAAGTTTAGCAATAAGGCCTTAGTCACCTCCGCTCTCCTATCAATTCCTCTTTCTCCCTGACTTTTCACCTACCATCTACCTCTAACACAACAGTGACCTTTAGTTACAGTTACACATTTTACACCATTTCAAGTTCAAGGTTAAAATCAAATTTACAACCTTTTAGTTTCTCTGATTTAGCATTCATTTATAATTTTATAATAACCATTACTTATTAGTTACTCTTATTATAATCATGATGTGAGTTATTACAGACATTTCTGAAAAGAAACCAAGAATAATCCATTATTCTAATTATTTGATACCATGTTACAGTTACTTGTTTTATCTGTAAGTACTTCCAAAAGTATAAGAGTAAGTGCAAATATTTTTATAATCAAACCAATATCAACCACTGGTTAAACCAATATTAATTATTGGCTTAATTATAAGTTATCATTATTAATTTAAGTATTTTACTCTGGGTTTTATCCAATTACTCAAAATGTTTAGATTTTATTCTTTAAACTTTTAAGGCTTTGAAATAAGGAGCACTCTGAACTATTTTTATACACATGCAGGCTGGAAACTTCCTCTTTCTTCAGGAAACCTGCTCTTCCTGTTCCATGACTCTCTTTCTGCCTGACTATAATTATTAATGATTAAATAGAAAAGAGTAGAATTCAAGCAGTTTGCAGGACACAATAACAACCAGATTAATTGTTACTATTAAACTAAAATCTCCAGCATGGGGAAGTGGGATGAGCTCGACTTTTCTCGACAATATATTTTGACTTTAATAAACTGCTTTTAAAAAAACATTAATACTCCCTCAGTAAAGTAATGTCAGCAAATATTTTCAAGGTTCTCTACTGAGTTTCCTCTGTGGATATCTCATCTCTGAAAACAACACAAACCCTCCCATGACCTATCATATTCTGCAGAACTTTACTTGTGGTATATTTACAGCCTGAATCAAGAAAGCCAAAATGAAAGTGAATTCCTGTTTCCCTGAAACCCTTATAGTAAAGAGAAAATGACAGATAAAGCCTCTGGTGGAAAAAGCAAGAAAACAAAAATGCAGTTCAAAGAATAAATAAAATTTTCTGCTAAGGTTTATTATTATAAGCTGCTTGAAAATTAAAATACACTTTTTTCTTTTTTTTCTTTTTTGCAAAGGCAGCTTTTTTTCAAATTTGAGGGCAAAAACATCAAACAGTTTGAAATTGGTGAAGTTACAAGTTACACAAGTAATATATAAAATAATGTGTATGCAAATTCATTTATATCTAATTTTTACTTTCCATGTTATACTCTACAAGTGGTCAAAAAAAGCCCAGATGACATCAAAATATATTATGATTCTAAGATTTCCTTATGTTTAAGAATATAATTAGCAAAATATCAGCTTGCACAGTTAATGAAAATAGCCAGAATCTTAACAGATATTAAAACTAGCTTATAGCTTAATAATAAAATTTAACATGACTTGATTGAAATAGCCTAATTATAGTTTTAAAATTTATAACTTATTCTGGCCTATTGACCTTTATTTTTCCTGTAGTTAAGGCAGATTGTTTGCCAAGATCTTTGATCTGCCCTCAGTAGCAATCAGTAGGAAGTTCCAGCTTTTCACACTGATCTGTGAAAGCCATAAACCAGCAGGAGTTTGGAGAAGCTCTCCTTCCACTTTATTTAGACAATGGAGAAACTGGTGTTTGATCTTGTGAACAAATTGCAGGGATTTTCTAACTTTAAAAAGGGTTAGAGACAGGTCCTGGTTGGATGAGCAAAGATACGCCGTATTTTAATAAATTAAATACAAGATAAAACTTTCCACACAGAGTAACAAATTAGATTTTGCTCTTTGCAATTTCTCCAAAGACGTCTTTGCTTTTTGTTTGTTGTTTCCAACTTTTGTCCTTTTCCCCCTCTCAGGTAAATTCATGTGTTGTTTGTGCTCTGAGGTTTCTGATGTTATGTGATGTGCTTTTCTGGTGATAGTATGCATCTGTCTTGAATAAATACTGATTATTGTGACGCTGTTATCTCTGCGTGATCTCAGTCCTTGCGCACAGCATTTTTCTGAATCCGGGCATAGAGAGGATATAACGAGTCAAAAGGTTTTTAAAGTTTTAGAATTTTTCCTCTCTTAATACAGACTGTCCCCTAGTGGACAGACTCATATCTGCTTTACTGATTCCTAGTTGATATCTGAATGTGTCAATAAGAGCTGCGGTTCATCTACTCACCTTTCATCAGAAACACCAGAGAAGTGATACCAGGACAGATATGGTACAGTTAAATGTTTACACAACTCTGTGGAAATGCCAAATTAGCATGATGTAAAATATATACAACAGTACAAAATAATTTTTAAAATATTTATTATGACATTGTTGCATGAGATATTTAAAGGCATTTCATAAAAAGATATTTTCCTCAATAAAACTCACTTTTTTTATTGGATTCATTGCAACTTCCTTCAACTTGTGAGCGTGACATAAATTTCCAAACACACACACATTTTTAGCTCTAAGAATGTGACTAATAGGTCAGGGATAATTGCTTTGTGAAGATGAATCCAGAACTGTTGTCATGAATAAAGATATAGTTATATCAGCCCGTAGACATCAAACTACAAAAGTTGCAAACTATTAACTGAAGAGTTGTCACAATGGAACAATTGTTTAACCTTATAATCTAACCCAGTGCATTTTAAAACTGAGAAATGCTAAAAGTGATCCATGCAAAGCTAAATACAAGAATAGCTAGTAATAGGTGCTTGAAATAACTCTGAAATATGCATGTAATGTCCCACACAACCACCGTTCACCTAAATAAGACAGTTGCATTATGGGTTATATCCAAGAAGGGAAAAAAGACAGAAAAAATCCAGCAGAGAAAGAGTGAAACTATTTTACATTCAGACCAAATGGTGAGGGCTGCACAGTGGCGCAGTTGGTCTTAGAATAAAATGTATGAAAATGTATTCTCCAAACCAGATCCAAAACATTTCACACATTTGGTTTCATACCTTTGTTTTGAGGAGATGAAGGTGAAAAAACAGGAACAGTTCCCGGATTTCAGGGAATTTAATTCAAGTTACAATCAAACACAACTTAAACACAACTTGTACTGGTAAAACAATGTCCTGTGTTATTTGTGTTCTCTGTCCTGTTCAGTCTAAAAATATACATTAAAAATTATATGATTAAAAAAAACTATATTTATTGCATTTATTTCAAGAAAAAGAATATAATTTTTAGATTATTGTTTTCTGTTACAAAACTCCAGGTGACATGGAAAAACATGGATGAAGAAATAAAAACCAGAACCGTTAAAAAAGACCAAAATATTGAGAGACATGATTCAGTTATGTAACAGATTAGCTTAACTCACTAAGTTTCGAACATAAATGAAAAAACTATATATATATA